AAATAAATAAAATCTTAAAAAAAAAAAATTAAAAATAAATAAAAATAAAAATAAAGAAGTGAACAGCACTCATTCACATATGAGCAAGGCATGCCACAAACATTATTTTTAGTTACTCATTTCATCTTTAAATGGCTTCATCTGCCTATTTAGGCGGCTCTCCTCCATCCTATTCCTTTGTGACCATCAGTAAACAATCTGTGGGGATAGAAAGCTAAATAGAAGAACCTATTGCTGATTTCTTTCTCAAGAACAAATAGAATGAAAATAACTTGACATGTGAATGAAACATACCTTTCTTTCAAGATGCCTGAGAATCCCTGATGAGAACTTACAAACTTGGTGATGCCAACGTCAAGTTCAGTGAGGCCGTGCTTCATCATGTCTGCAAAACTCTCAGCTTCCTCCTCCTCCTCACCCTCCTCTGAAAGGCCATCTTCTTCCTCCTCTTCCTCTTCTTCCAACTGCACATCAGAATTCTTTCTACCCTCTCTGGCACTTACAGCTGCGGGTGGCCCAGGCACATGCACACTGCCGGGCGGAGAGACATGCTCCAGCCCATCCTGACCTGTGGTCAGACAGCCGTCCAAGACCTTCTGTCTTTTTGCCTCCTCAGCTGGGGCCACACTGTCATTATCTTCGACAGCATGAGACCCACGTTTCAGCGACACACCAGTCACTTCTGTCAGCTCCATTTTTAAAGCTCCAAGAAAACATTTAAGAGAACCTTTTAGGAAGGAAGAGAGGGCAGGAAGTAACCATCACTTCAGTTAAGAGGTGGGTTTCAGCAAACAGAGGCACAATTAACTTTGTTCCTAGGGTCCTATAACTTATTTATTAAAATAATTCTTCCTAATGCTGGCAAAGAAAAATGGCACAACACTTCTGCATAGAATTTGAGAGTGTGCATCAAAAACCTTAAACAAAATGTATGTCCTTTGATCCAGAAATACTACTTTCAGGGAGTATCCTAAAATAATTAAAATAATTAAAGCACTTTTGTTAAGTGCTTAAAGTTCTAGCTGTAAGGATACTCATCTCAGTGCTTTTATATTAGCAAAAAACTAAGAACAATGATGCCTGGGTACGTAAACTGAACAATACGTAGAAACCATGTGGATAGAAACTGGGCAAGGTGGTTACTTCTAGGACAGGGTATGGGTGGCTGGGTACAACAGGGAGACCTGCTGTTTTTACTGAATACTGTAGTCAGGTCACTTGAACTTTGTTTCACGAAGATTATTATCCTTTCGAAAAACTGGTTAAATAAAAATAGTGCATAAATACACTTACATGAACGCATACTCATACCATATTAAAAAAAAAGCAAGGGGGATGCAGCGTTGTTTATTGGGTATAGAGTTTCAGTTTTTCAAGATTAGAAAGAGTTCTGCATACTGGTTGCACAAGAGTGCAAATGTACGCAACACTACTGAACTATATGCTTAAAAATGGATAAGATGGGGGTGCCTGGGTTAAACGTCTGCCTTCGGCTCAGGTCATGATCCCAACATCCTGGGATCAAGCCCTGCGTTGGGCTCCCTGCTCAGGGCTCCCTGCTCAGGGAGGAGTCTGCTTCTCCCTCTGCCCCTCCCCCCGCTCATGCTCTCTCTCAATAAAATAAAAGTCTTACCAAAAAAAATGAATAATGTTACATGTTCTGTGTATTTTGCCACAGTTTAAACAACACAGATTATCATTTAACCAGCCCACACACAATGTAATGAGGGAAAGTCTAAGAAGCCATACATACTTCCCAGTACTGAGCAGCTTGCCGGAGGGGTAACATGTGGCAATCAAAATAAATACATTTATCTAATTTGATCTTACTTGGTGCTCTTGGTGAAATAAGGATAAAAGTTTTCCTATGCTAATTCTATAGGGAGATGATATAATTAACATGCTATGAACTTAGTAAACAAACTCATAAAGAACATAAATGAGCAGAGAATTAATATTCTAAGGTTCTCCAAGGCCTAGTTAACAAGAAACCTAACTATAGAAGCATCTACAGCAGAATAATAATAACAATGAACTAAAGTTTAAGAATCCACATTTGCGGGGCGCCTGGCTGACTCAGAGGAGCGTGCGACTCTTGATCTTGAGAGTCATGAGTTTGAGCCCCATGTTGGGTGTGGAGATTATGTAAATAAATAAATATTTTTAAAAAAATTTGATCTTGCCTCATTGTCAAAAATCTAGAATGTAAAGAAAAGTAAAGAAAAAGACAAATACATGCACAAAATGAAAGAAAAAAGGATGATGGTGACTACAAAAAAAAAAATGGGAGAAGAGGTACAGAAAGATGCCAATAAAATAAATTTCCTTTCAAAGACAAAAATTTAAATAAAGAAAATGGAAGAAACTAAGAAACTGGAACAGACGTTGAACACAGCTAGTTATACAAAATTACCTCTATTTCAAATAAGAAAGCATTTACTCCTCATTTGTTCTAAGCAAAGTATAATAAAAAAAGAGTATTGGCTCATGAAATGCTGATGCTATTTCATGCTCAAGTTCTGTCACCAAAGCTGCCCTCACAGGGCCTACAGGCCAGTGAGGGAGACACCAAGGGCCCAGGGGGTCACTTGGGGACTACGGGAACACACAAGATTTCAGAGGGCGCTGGTGGTGAGGCTGTCAGAGAAGCCCCCTTTCCTAATGGAAGACCAGAAATGAACACCTGAGCCAAGTCTTGAGGACCGGGTAAGGTCACAAAAGTGGGGAGGAGGCTGTTTGCGGGGGTGGGGGGTAGGGGTGGTAGCAGGGGCAGAGACACGGAGGCATGGGAGAGCAAGGAGCACTGGAAGAGGCCCAAGGAGCTCATCACACACCATGGAGGGTGAAACACACAATGAGAGTCTGAAGCTAAAGCTAGGGGGTGAGCAGATACTACAGCAGGCAGAATGCAGGGAATTCCATCTTGAAAACCAAACCACCGCTGGACCTGTGAGTCTGAAAGATTTCATGGCACCTCTTTAAAGAGAAACTGGGGTTAGCTGGAAGACTAGGTAGAGGCTACAGCCAAGGGACACCTGACTGGCTCAGTCAGAAAAGCGTGCAACTCTTGATCTCCGGTTTGTGCGTTTGAGCCCCACGTTGGGTGCAGACATTACTAAAAAAATAAACGTAAAAAAAAAGAGGGTAGAGCCGAAATTGAGCCAAGAAATGAGCACAACATGATCTAAAGCTGAGGCAAGGGCGACAGAAAGGAAGTTTGGATTCAGGGGCATTTAGGAGGTGGTGGGAACAGGACTGAATGACAAATGTGGGCAGCAAGAGGAAACACTCGAGGATGAATCAGGTTTGCTGCCTTGGGGACCTGAGGGGACAGGGGAGCCCCTCCTGGCACGGAAACCCTGGGCAGAGAAGCAGGTGGTGGGAGAAGACAAGCCCACTCATGGTACTGTGGTGTCGAAGGCACCTCGGAACATCCGGAAGCCAGGCACTACCCTGTGTGACCCATATTCCTACCCCCAACCTGCAACGGCTTCCCAGTGACGATACTTCTATCCTAGCTGGCATGCCAGGCTCCACCAGGAGATCCCCATACCTTCCCAGGCCTGAGCTCTCAGCAGGGAGGAAGCACAACCAGTAACAGCCACTTCAGCAGCCTGGCTCAGGGACTTTAAGTCAGCAGGATGTCTCCCTCCTTCCCAGAATGCAGAGGATTCATCAAGCTCCTTTCTCCACAACTGACGGTCATAAGCCTTGGTGGGAACACCAATGATTTCCTCTGCAGAAATGTCTGCGCCATCCTGCGTTGGCACTGCCCACCATCTAGAGATCCAATCGGTACCAAGATCTCCCACAGGTCTCGGAGAACTCAGGCCCTGCCCCAATGGGTGCCTGTTTTCTGCCTGACTGCTCATGAGCTCTCTCCAGATACTTTGTAGACTTCTTGGAACAGGTGCTGAAACTGTTCCCCACCTACAGAGATCAAAGTCACACCAAAAAGCAAACTACTAAGGAAACAGTGGACCTGGACAACCAACCACCATGAATGGCCACTAACATCACAACAAACAGACAACCAGACACACTGCATGCCCCTGAAAGCACATGCTATTATCTGTGAAGTATTTTTTTTTTATTCTTATTTATTTGACAGAGAGAGAGACCGCTAGAGAGGGAACACAAGTTGGGGAGTGAGAGAGGGAGAAGCAGGCTTCCCACTGAGCAGGGAGCCCGACCGTGGGGCTCGATCCCGGGACCCCGGGCCAAAGGCAGATGCTTAATGACTGAACCACCCAGATGCCCCTCTGTGAAGTATTCTTACTGACTGGAACTCGATGTCTAATTGGTAGGTTAGATGCCATACAGGGACAGAAGGTTTTAAACACCACCACAGGGAAGGAACCAGCAAAATTCTGAATGTGGGAAACTCTACAAGGACAAAGACAGTTCCTTCACTAATAAACAAGAAGGGGAAAAAGAGGGAGGGGAGCTTACAGACAAACTTATAAAGAAATGTAATGAGTGGATCTTTCTTTAAACAAGTCAACTGTTTAAAAAACTGGGACAATCAGGGATGCAGAAATACTGGGGATATTTGATGACATTAAGGTAGTATTGTCAATTTTTTTTTTTTAAGAGTGAGAGCATGAGCGTGCGAGAGTGTGCAGAGGGAGAGGGAGAATCTCAAGCAGGCTCCTCGCCCAAGTGGAGCCCGACATAGGGCTCTAACCCACGACCCTGAAATCATGACTGAGCCGAAATCAAGAGTCGGACGAGAGTTGGACACTTCGACTGAGCCACCCAGGCGCCCCAGTATTGTCAACTTTTGAAGGTGTGATTATGTTACTGTGGTTACAGTTAAAAATAGACTCCTTATGTTTTAGAGATACAAACTAAAATATTTATGGTTGAAAAATTATGAAGTCTGGAATTTGCTTCAGAATAATTTACCAGTGGTGAATGGAAGTGGAGCAGGTATAGATTTGAAACCAAGTAGGTAATTACTGAAACTGAGCGATGGGAACATCACACCTTCTACTTTGAGCTTTTATTTTTATTATAAAAAATTTCAAACCTATAAAGTATAAAGAGATATGCAAACTATTCTGTTCCAATCAAACCACTGATTTTTTCCATTCTTCTGTTCCTCCCTCTGCCGTCACCTGTTCCTCAAACATGTCCCAAAAAACCGCCTCTCCCACCCTCGCTTCTTCAAGTGCCCCAAACCTCAGCATCTGTGCGCCACCGCTCAACACTCTGGCTCACTGGTGTGGCTCCACGATCCTTGCTAGCCTCCAACCAAGTACCAACCCTGCTGTCTGTGTCTGTGCTCCTGGTTGCTGCTGGAGAAAATCACACCCGGTCAGGAGATTCCTCTCTTACAACAGCCATCCCGGGTCAGGGCAGGCTTCTCCCAGTCCTGCTGGCCATCCACAAAGAAAATGGGGATCCTCTGACAGACACACCTCTTTCCGGCATCTTCACAAGACCACTTACTATAACCATTTCCCTAAATGTGGCGACCCTCTTAAAAGAATCCATAGTCACTTTAACACTCACTCACTCCTCAGCACCGCACTTGACCCCCTCAACAAACATTCACCGTGCACCCTGCACCCGGCATTCTTCCAGGCACTGCGAAAAGACATTGTGGCAAATCAAACTCATGCCCCGCTGGTACGGAGCTAACATTCGGGGGAAGATCTGGCTTCTGCCTCAAATTGTTTCTTTAAAGTTCAGCGATGGCTTCCTTGTGCCAAAACCACAGCCCCTCCATCCTGGCTTTAACCGACACCTTTACCTGAGACATGGCTCATCGCTTCGCTTCCTTGAAACTCTGCTTCTCCTCCTTGCCTTTCTCCT